AATAATATTTAATATATAGATATAACTACTCAGGTGTGTATGAATACTTATGAGCTTTCTTATATAAATACCTATCTGTTGAGGTTTCTTTCCATTGATTTTCAATATCATTTTTTATTTTATATGCATCATATCTGTGTTTCATTTTTTCATTGTGTGGATTAGGTAAATTGATCTTCATAGCCTTTGTGAATGTGGTAGAATATTTTTTATTAAAGTCTTGATCTAGTCTGATTAGTTCTTTATGAGTTGCGATTGAAAGTTTTTTTTGCCTATACATTCCTCTTTTTTCTGCTTTATATTTGAACCTTTTACATTTGACAGGAAATTTTTCTAACACTTTTTTTAATATTTTGCTAGTTATGCATCCTTGACAGTTAAAAAGGCTATGAAGCATTTTTGAGCTTCCTAAGTTATTAAATCTTTCTTTGGAAAAGGTAAACAAAATATCTTTCAAATACAATTATGACCTGGACCCCTTTAAGTTTCTTATATGGTTAACAATAACCGGGCCTTTTTTTTTTATTTGTTCATAATCAAAGTGAAATACAGGATTTTTTTCAATATAAGTTTTGTATTGATGATTGAGCACTCTTGACCTAAAAACTTTATAATTTTCATTTACTAAATGTTTGATTTTATGTTTTTCAGTTAAAGCTATATATACTGCAACTTTAGCGAAACCGCAAATTAAAGGATCAACAATAGACAGCTCTGACATAACAAAAGATTGAAGTGATTTAATTATAAATCTGTTGTTTACTTGTATTCTAAATTCGGTTAACTAAATTTATATTCTTCCCGCTAATTTACATGTTTACAATAATCTATGGTAATTTAAAGACCGGAAGTTTAGTTTAATAGTTTTATGGCATTATAAAATAGGGTCGGATTATATCACAGTAATATTCAAATTTTAAACTTAGACTTTTAAATAAATCTTAAGAGGTTTAACTTTAAAAGTCTAACTGGTCGTATGTCAATTTGTGTGTTCTTCACACTCAAATTAATAAAAACTTTCATATAAAATGGAAAAAACAGATTTTAAACTTGAAATAGCTAATTTCTTTCGACTTTTAATATGTTTGCAGACATATGACTGGTTAGAAATTAAACATATAACTTGTAACTTGTTTGAAAAACTTGTTTTCTCAAGTTAATGTTTTATCTTCGTTGAGAGCAGCGCCATTTTATACCAAAATATGGTACATCAACCATTAAGCAAAATTTTATATCTAAACTTGTGTAATTTAAAAAAAATTAACTTTATTTGATTTTAAACATACTAAAGCGCTGGTGGGGAAAAAAAAAATTAAAAAAAAAAATTTATTTGTGCTAAAAAAATGCAGTAAAACATTGCGTTTTTATAAAAACGCAAAATCGCGTATTTTCCAGAACATGCATTAACGGCGTTGAGTATATGTAACGTTGAATAAGTGTTGTTTTAAAAATAGCTTAAATGCGTTAAAAAAGCAGCTAATGTCTAACGTTGATAAACCATAAACTTTGCGACGTTTTTACAGTGATTATTTGCGTACTTTTATTCAACGTTGATTAAACGCTATTTTTTGAAACGTTTAAATTTATACGCTTATTCAACGTTGAAAATATAACGTTTAAAAAGCGGTTTGTTTTTAACGCTGATAAAGCATATGCTTTAAAACGTTTTTAAAGTGGCTTTTTGCGTAAGTTGATTCCACGTTGAATAAACGTTTTGTTTTGAGAAGCTAAATTACGTTACAATTTCGACGCTTATTCAACGTATCAATTTTCCGCAATTTAGTATACAAAAACAGACATTGATTCAACGTTGAAAGCACGTTGTTTTTGTGACTGTAACGCTTTTTCTACGCTGCGACTGGTTTTCAACGTTGATTCAACGCTGATATGTTTGCTGGGTATTTATATAATTTATATTAGTAATATATAAAAAATTAGAAAAAGTGTGTGTTATATATATAAATATATATATATATATATATATATATATATATATATATATATATATATATATATATATATATATATATATATATATATATATATATATATATATATATATATATATATATATATATATATATATATATATATATATATATATATATATATATATATATATATATATATATATATATATATATATATATATATATATATATATATATATATATATATATATATATATATATATATATATATATATATATATATATATATATATATATATATATATATATATATATATATATATATATATATATATATATGCTGGCTATATAGATTTTTAACCGGAACTCTGAACATCTATTTGCACTCATTACTAATTAACATTTAAAAAAAAACCATGCCTATGTCACAATCTGTGCATTAAATAATAAATCATGGCGGTTCTTTTATTAGGTATTTTAAGTATCCGCCAATAGGTTCTTTGTCTAAGAGTGCTATAGAAGCCAGAAGCAAGAAAAACAAAATTGTACTGGTTGGTCATGCACGTCTAACTTTCTTAACAGAAAACACTAGGGATACGGTTAAATATTTATTTATGACATCTGATTTGTACCTCTATTGCAAAAAAAAAAATGTATAAAAAAGAGTAAATGAAGCAGAATGCTGAGTGTTTTTTCCATCTTAATCTCTTTAATATTTATTTATTATATATATTTAATTTATTTAAAATATTTTTTAAATGTTAATTTATGCTGAGTGTTTTTTGAATGTTTGCTATTGTTAATAGTTTTGACTTTTTTTTGTTACAACTTTCTTTTTTTTTTTTCTTTTATCAGATAGAGAAGCCTCAATGTTTTGTTTTTTACAAAATTTAAGAAATAATTCAATCATTTTAACTTATGATTAACTAGGAAAACCTACATCAACTAAAATGTTATACTGATGAGCTGTTCCGCAATGAATTTTTTTAAAAAACGACCATTAATACGCTATAAAAAGCATCTATTAGAATAAAACGTTAAAAAACTTTGTAAGAAACCATAGAGTAAAAAATCAGATGGTAGCAGATATATTTATAATTTTGATAAGTTTATATTCAATGATTTTGTTTATTACTTAGTCGTGTTTATGGATGTAGTTAGTAAAATTCTATAAAATATCGGCGCTTACTGTTTTATCAATTAAATTATCCGGACTTGTCTATATTGTGTGAAAAAATCAGTTAAATACATGCTTCTTTATTTATAAGCCTATTTCAATGCCGTATAAATATAACTAGATGCGTGATAGCGCATAACTTAGTGAAGCCAGCGTTTTTATTATTTTGATAAATTAAATTTGGTTAATTAAGCAATCATTTTTGTATAATTTTATTTTATTTGAGACCAAACATGACTTATATTTGAAATATTGATGATATTGGGGATCCGTTAAATGTTTAAGGTTCTTGAGGCAAATATAATGATTAACAAAGCAAATTTCAAATCATAAAAAATTACAAAATTAAAATCATATTTTAACAGTAGAAAACCTAAAATAAAACAGTAGATTATATAGTAATAAAAGGTAGAGGTGTACCGGATATTTTTGCTGGATATGCCGAATATTGAACTTTTCTAAAGTTCTATAAGAGTTTATGAAGAAAAAACAAGCCTTGCCATTCTACATTAAATAGTGTTCAAGATTTAAAAAAATAAAACCAAGAAAAAAGTGGTATAACAAAGGTATATGCGTTAATAATGTATAAGGAAAAATTATTTTTACAGCTAATTTTTTTTTTTTTTAAATTACTATTTTCTATACTTCGTCAGCACATATCTCATGTCATACAGTTTTTCTTTTGATTTTTTAAAGTAAGGTCTGGAATACTATTTATTGCAAACTGGCAAGATTTGTTTTTACTTCATAAACACTTATTGAACTTTAGAAAAGTTCAATATCCGGCATATCTGGCAAAAATATTCAGTACACCTCTAATAAAAGGTACATTTAAAAGTATTTAATTAAAAGTAGGCATGAATCAAAATCTGTAAATTTTTAAAGCCTTTTAACAAAATGAGTCTTTTTTTAGCAAGTCGAAAACTTGCTTTTATTATTTGCTTATTATATATATATTTGCTTATTATTATATATTGCTTATTATTTGACGTTTTGAGTCTAATGGTTAAAAATCTAGCAGCAATTTTTCAAAAAGAAGTAGTTGCTTTTAAAAATTTAACAGTTAAAATCTCTTTGAAAACTTATATTCTGTTTAAGGTGGTCGTCTAGTGAAAAATATGCAAAAAATCAAATTTTTGTTATTGGTGTAGTTTAAAAGAAAAAGGATATAAAAGAAATTAAAAAAAAAACACTTATAAAGTGTATTTGTATTATGAACTTATGAATGTATACTTGTAAAGTATCTTTTTTGCATACAAGTTAGACGGTAATTCGTCTGACTTTTTTTCCCGTGAACTTTAGAAACCCGGCGGGAAATCGGCTAGCGAACAGCTAGCTATAATCGCTACGATAAAGACAGCGATTTGGCCACGAGGATCGCTAGCTTTTTTAAGTTAGCGAAAAGCTATCGATATTTATAAAGATAAAGACAGCGATTTGGCTAAGAGGACAGCTAGCTTATTAAGCTGAAGATCCACTGGCTATTGTACCTAGTGTCATATCGTAATAAAATTGTTATCTAAAAAATTTTGATATGTAGCTATCAACCACCTATAGATTTGTAAATATTTTGTAGCTAGCTACAAAGCTACGATATGTTGCTAGCGACACATTTCTACAAAATCGCAATGTTTAAAGTTCAATTATTTTCATAATTATAATAGACTCAACACTAAAAATCGAATATTTCTAAAATGTTAAAGACATTTGTAAAAAATAAAATAAGAAAACAAAAATCGCTATAAAGCTAGCTAGTCGCTCGCTAGTCGCTAGCTCTTTTCCCATCGGGAAGTCACTTCTGCGCACATGGTGTTTACAAAAAAATGTGACGTTTCATGGAAAGTCATCTATCTGACGGACAGTTGTTTCGTGATGTATTCATGTTGCGCCCGATTAAATCTCGGTTAAAAGCCTAATTTGATAAGTTATAAGTTTATCAACTTGATTTGATTAGGTTATTCATAGCATAAATTAAAATGTTATATAAAAAAAATTACATAGGCACCACTGTATATTTATAATGCGATTATTTTAAAGCCCAATATATTACAGTTGCTTGCTATTTTACGGATAAATGCGTCTATTGGAAAACACTTTTTGAAGATTTTATTGTATATTATTAATTCTAGTTAAGTTTAAAGAAGATGCCATCTTTTAATCATAAATACCATGCTATAAATACCTCATTTAAAGTAACAATAAAGAAAACTAGAAAAGTGTGTTATTTATTATTAGCTATACTTGTATCCATATTATATATTACATTTAATATATATGTTGAAGGCTCTTATGGAGTTAGGAGTAAAGGAAGATGTAAAAACTCGTTCAATGAAAACAAAGACTTAATCTATCTTATTACAAAAACCCACGATGTTTTAGACAAATATAAACTTGATTACTTTTTAATGTATGGAAGGTGAGTATTTTTATAGAACTTATTTAATGTAATTGTTAGTAAAAATTGTGAATATATATATATATATATATATATATATATATATATATATATATATATATATATATATATATATATATATATATATATATATATGTATATATATATATACATATATATATATATATATATATATATATATATATATATATATGTATATATATCTATACATATATATATATATATATATATATATATATATATATATATATATATATATATATATATATATATATATATATATATATATATATATATATATATATTGTACCTATGTTTATAAAATAAATAAAAAGTCTAATCATACACTTTGTTTCAGAAGTTAATATGAAGTTAGTGACTATATACTCTTTGAATTTGCCACGAAATACACAAATTATTTTTTAGACCCATATTACCTTTATATATTATATGAAGTAACCAGAGGTGTAGGTCTTAAAACCAAAGTCTTGGTCTCGAGACGCCTCGAGACTCATATTTAACTGTCTTGGTCTTGGTATTGTTCTTGAAGCCTAGAGTATTGGTCTTGGTCTCGAACCTCTACTGTCTTTTACTTTCTTGATTCTTAGGAAAAATATCAACTTAATGAATGGATTAGTTATTAATAACAAACCGTAATAGCCACTACTTCCCACTCTCAAATAGAAATCATCACGTTGTTTTGACAAGGTTCTAACTGAAATTTTTAATGTTAATAGAATTAAAAAATATATATATATTTTTTTAAATATTTAATTAAAATTATTATATTATTTTTTATTAGTTTATGTATTCTTTTTACACAGTAATAATAGGTAAATGATATACCGTATGAAGAGAGCTTATGGAGAAAACCAACATACCAAATTTTATTAAAGATTAAGTGTTTGTAAAAAAAAGATCCAAAAACCTAGCTTAGTTGTTACAAAGGCTCCAAATGTAGCCTTAACAATACACACCAAAATTATGAACAGGTACACCATCCATGCGCAACATGGCATTGTTAGTACTTTAATATTTTACGGCTGTTGATAGAATCTCTCTAAGAGTTACGACAGAGATCAGAAAACCTGACTACCAGTTGGCCTTAGAACCATAAAACTGAGTTCTAGAGCTGTACCCTCATTTAGAGATAATAGAATGAGTTGTCTAGTCATAAAAACAAAGACACAAGCAAAACCCATGCAAGACACAAGCAAAACCCATGCAATTAGTTAAGAAGATCCAGCATTCAACATTCTAAGCTGGAAACAATGTATTATAAATACATCTACAAAAGCCTAATAAACAAAATAAAGGGTGCGATGCTGGTCAACAGATAGAAGTTTCTCCAGATATAATATACATATATAATATACAAGATATAATATATATATATATATATATATATATATATATATATATATATATATAATATATATATATATATATATATATATATATATATATATATAATATACAAGATATTATATATATATATATATATATATATATATATATATATATATATATATATATATATATATATAATATACAAAATGTAATATATATATATATAATATATATATATAATACACAAGATATAATATATATATATCAGGCTTTCCCAGGAAAGGCGTGCGGTTGCACGCCTTGTTTGTCCACGCATAGAATAAATTTTTCTGACTAACTGACCACGTTTTATTATTATGCGTTTCAAGAATTCGCGCCAAAACAAAGCTAAACGAAAATACCGCAAAAATGCAAGCAATCTTAAAGTAAATAACAGAAATCTGTTTGTGCTTAATATTAAAAAATTAATGTATATTATTAAAAAAAAACTTTACCTATATTTTATATTTTTATTTTTTTAGGGTGGTAGTTATTTAAGCTATGAAAAATCAAATCAATAAGAAAAATCAAATCAATAAGAAAAAGATTAATGTTTAAAGAAAATAAAAGGACCTTTTAATGTAAAATTTGTTTATGACTTTAATCAGTCAGTAATACTTTAAAATTCACGCTAGAACTATAAACAATTTTTAAATGTTTCGTAAATACATTTAAATGTTTAAATGTATTGATTTTAATGTTTAAATGATACGCAAGAAAACACGAAAACGATTGCTATTTATTAGTAAAATATGTTTTTTTTTTTTTTAAATGAAAGAAAATTTTATTGTCAAACGATTGAGTTGCTTATTTTGCAATCATTAAATGACATTGTGAACGAGTGTTAATATATAATAATGTCCCGAAGGAACTGTTTTCGTAACAATGACAACAGAACCAATGCAAATTTTTTTTTAACTTATTTCGTAATTACAAAGTTATGCAATTGAATAATTTCAACGTAATAAAAGGCGAGCAGTGACTCAGTATAATCAGTTTTGAATAAGTCGAGAAAGAACTTTTTTCACATTAAAATTTTGTTATGTTTAAAATCTCAAATAATATATTTAATAATTAAAACAGCAATTTATTTTCTTGTCTAAGTATTAGGGAATAAAGACATTGCCTTTGCATAAACCTTCGAAAAATTTATTCTATGCGTGCGACCGCACGCCTTTCCTGGGAAAGCCTGATATATATATATATTTATATATATATATATATATATATATATATATATATATATATATATATATATATATATATATATATATATATATATATATATATCAGCGTGTAAAATAAGAAATCGAAGGGGAGTGGTCAATTTGACCAGCTAACCCTTAGAATTGACGGTTCACTGTTTTTTTTGGATGGTCAATATTTTTATTATTTTCTTTGTTTTAATTTTAATCTTCGTATTAGTTCTTCATGACTAAACTTTATAAATACAAAAATAACTTAATATTTGATCATTAACGAGTTAGTATTCCTTTTTTAAACTTGCAAATAACTAACATTAAAATTACATGCCAATGTTAATATTTTAAAATTAAGCGCGCAAATTTTCATTTTATTTCTTAAAGGAAGTTTATAAATTGATAAACTTTTTCAAAATTTTAATGATAGTATGATAATTTAGTACATGCTTTTTCCAAATAATAATCTGATTTTTTTTTCAAATCTTGTTTTTCAAAACTCTGATTATTTTTGAACTGGTCAACCATGACCGGCAAGAAATCATTTTGGGAGGTCAAAATAGCAATTTTACTCATTTTGGGCAGTCATTGACCATTGACCGGCCGTTATTTTACACGCTGATATATATATGTATATATATATATATAATATATATATATATATATATATATATATATATATATATATATATATATATATATATATATATATATATATTAGGGTGGGTCAAAAAATTTTTTTTTTTGTTACAGGCTCTAAACATTGCTAATAGTTATTAATATTGATACTATCAAATATGAGAATGATTGTGATAGATTTAAAGGGCGCAACTTTATTGGGAAAATTACTGGTACCCTAATATTTTGGAGGAAAAAAGTTTTTCAAAATTACCTGGTACTCAAAAGAAACGAAATTTTATAAAAAGTTCGAAAATAATAATCGTTTAATAAAAATCATATTGCTGAAAAAATTGTTATTAAAAAACATGTAAAAATGCACCTTTTTCACTTTCAGTTAAAAAACTATAGTTATTATGCAGTAAAATCTAAAATAATAATTTTTATATGAAAAAATTATAATTTAAATAATAATAGGGCCTGCTAATAAGGGAATAATAATAGGGCCTGCTAATTTTTGTAATTATAGTTGCGGGTGGAAGACATTGTTGAATCCATAAATTTAAATACTTTCCTAAATTAGTACATAAACAACTTTCAATGTTTAGAGCCTGTAACAAGGAAAAAAAATTTCATGACCCACCCTCAGGCTATTTGTCAGTCGATGTAGCAGCACTCCGTTGCGAGTCAGGCTATTTGTCAGTCGATGTAGTAGCACTCTGTTGCGAGTCAGGCTATAAGATAGTCGATGTAGCAACATTTACGCATGTTTTAAAAATGTTTTTTAATAAAATTAAAACAAAAACATCACTAATAAAAAAAAACTTTCTAGTCGTTATAATTCCGGTTTTTTAAAAAATTTTTAAAAAACAATAAAATTTAATGTACTTCCGCATTAATTTAATTGCTTTGACATTTCGACGACAATCAAATACAGCTTAAGAGACGAGGTAATTAAAATTGTAGTCGAAAGAGACTTTTTTTTACATTAAAACACTCTTTCGACTACACTATATGGATATATATATATATATATATATATATATATATATATATATATATATATATATATATATATATATATATATATATATATATATATATGTATATATAACTACTGTTTAATAAGAGAACAAATGTGATAAAAAATTTAAACTAGATAAAAGAAAAAGTGCAAAAAATTAGTATAAATACCTCAAAAAATGATTGCTAGTTCAAATGAAGTTTTAATCTAATAAAACAAGTTATAGTTTTATATTTTATTTTTCAATTATTCTCCACCCCAAGGCTGTGGTTACAACCCTCTCTCAGCTCTATAACTCCGAAACACTAACTCAATGAATAAGGGCACTGCACAGAGAAACAAGTTGAGCGTAGTACTACCAAGGTTGTAGTGGGGATCAAACTTGGAATTTCTTGCTTATGAGGTGAGCGCTCTACCACTAAACCACTACCGCAAACTACAGTTTTACTAACTGTAAATAAAAGAATAAAATTACAAATAAACGGAATAAAGAACTATATAGAATATATATACTTCTTCTGCAGGGGCTATTCTAGGAAAAAAATTTGGGCGGTGGTACCCATCCCGGTGAAATTTAGCAGAAAATCAGTTTTTTTTATTGTGTGTGTAAAAAGCAATATTGGCCATAAAAAAAAAGTCCTCAAATTTTAATTTAAGCCGCGCTTAAATTAATACCCAAATATGGTTGGCGCTGTTGAAAACAGTCGTTCACATGGTATTTTTAAAGAGTATTGAATTGATATTGTAAAAAGCTATAAAATAACAATAAA